CAGTATTTCCTCAGAAAATACTGTACTGTACTTGTACAGTATTTACTTGTACAGAATATAACAGAGAATAAACTGCCCAAATACCCTTAAACAAAGGAAAAGTACGTCCTTTATGAAGGCATAGAGCCACTACATGAAAATGAAAATTAATGAATACACTGTGTACAGTAATTTACCTGATAAGACAGACCTCAGAAAAATACTTTATGAGAGCTTTTATACTTTTATAAAGCTGTCTATAATGAAAATTAATTAACTAAGGATTTTTTCGCCCTGCCAAGGTGTGGACCAGTTATCCGGAGTGCTAAGTTATCGAGAGACGAGTTTTCGAGGTTCTACTGTATATCAAAGATTGATTCTATCAATAAATATTAAAAACAGACTAAACTAGGGACAATCCTTAGAAATTGGGGTTGTCTGGTCACCCTATATTAGATGTTATTCCAATTTATTAATACATGTTATACTGATTATACGACTAGTGTTATGCAACTTTCAAAAATTTTTAACAGTCAAAAGTATTTCTCCACTATTAGGTAATATTAAGTTACTTAATTTATCTAATCTTTTCATTGAATAATTATTTATACTTCTAAAATATAGATAATTGTTAGTGTTACATTAGCATATCATGATATCTTTAATTATGCAAATAGTCTAATTTTAATATTTATGAAAGTACTGTATATCTATATTTTTATGAAAAAAATGAACTGTAGAAGAAGTGCAATCTGGCTTGTATTTCTTTTTATAACTAACAATTTAGTATATAAAATTTAAAGTATTACCTACATACAGTATACAGTATTTGGTCAGGAGTTTGAATACTGATATGGATAAAGTGATAGAAAATTTACATTGCTAGTTTTATAGAAGTATATTTAGGATAGATCAACAGCTGGATTTTTTTATCTGAATGGAACTAGGACTACTGCCAATAAAATTGTTATTAAACAAGCATTATTATTCTGGAAAAGGATCATTAATTTGCTAAAGGAAGATGTAAGATACCTTGTATAACAAAAAGTGAAGGCCCTAATATTACTTGAAGAAAAGGATGTTTGGTTGTTTAAAAATATAGATAATTACCTTTTTTTTTTTTTTTTTTTTTTTTTTGTTCTATGGTTTTTGAAACTAGTTGGGCCATGTCTTGGGAGAAATTTTATGAATTTATTTAGAGAGGGAAGTTGGTTGTTCATATCTCTTCTTATAAGAATGCCAGAATTTGATTATTATTATCTCAAATTGCAATAATTTCATCTCATGGTTATAGTGCAATAGTTCATTGTTGAAGAATTAGTAGTCATTCACTTTCCCATAAGGTTTTAGCATATCAAGTATCAGTCATCAAATCATCTTTAATATAATTATCCATTTTCTTATAATCACAGTAATAATATCAGTTATTGGTAAACAACACTTCATTATCCTTCCTCATAGCTGTACAGTCGACCCTCCCCCCATAACACTGTTGATAATTCTATTTTATATGAATTCCATGTTGTACGAGGCACTTAGATTTTACAAATACGTGTGCCAGGCTGTGAACGGCGACTGTATTTTGTGGCATTTCTTGCATGACTAAGCAATGATTGAGATGGAAAAGAAATTCCCCAAAACTATTTCCACGATGATAGATATGCATTCTCTTGTTATTTCCATCTCTTCTCCTGTCTGTTTATATATTCATTAATCACAGTAGTTAATTATATGTGTTTATAAATTTTGTTTAATTAATATGAAATAATGTCATATTAATGAAATTACAACTTTGAACATTGAACAAAACTGAAAACAAAAATATATTTTCTGTAGAAGAAAACTAATTTATATACTTTATCAGAATGCTTTTAAACAAAATATAAATATTCCAACAAAAAAACCACAAAACAACTCCTGTAAATTTCAGAAAAACCATTGATTTAAGAATTTTAATACACTGGACAAGATGATGATAAAAAATTATTTGAAAAAATTCAAAAGAAATGCAAAAAAGAAAAAAAATTGTTTTAAGAGAGTCTGTACTATTGCAAATCATAAGAATTGAATAGAGAGAGAGGAAAGTTGGTTGTTTAAAAATATAGATAATTGTTAGTGTTACATTAGCATATCATGATATCTTTAATTATGCAAATAGTCTAATTTTAATATTTATGAAAGTACTGTATATCTATATTTTTATGAAAAAAATGAACTGTAGAAGAAGTGCAATCTGGCTTGTATTTCTTTTTATAACTAACAATTTAGTATATAAAATTTAAAGTATTACCTACATACAGTATACAGTATTTGGTCAGGAGTTTGAATACTGATATGGATAAAGTGATAGAAAATTTACATTGCTAGTTTTATAGAAGTATATTTAGGATAGATCAACAGCTGGATTTTTTTATCTGAATGGAACTAGGACTACTGCCAATAAAATTGTTATTAAACAAGCATTATTATTCTGGAAAAGGATCATTAATTTGCTAAAGGAAGATGTAAGATACCTTGTATAACAAAAAGTGAAGGCCCTAACATTACTTGAAGAAAAGGATGTTTGGTTGTTTAAAAATATAGATAATTNTTAATGGATTGACAAAATATTATGGCACACGTCTAAGGTAATATTTGTAGTATAAGGAGTGGATGGGGTTTAGGTGGTACACGGTTCGTTTCGTCTGCGGGACGTCTTTAACAGATGTGATTAGTAAATATAACTGCTTTTAATTCTTGTCAATTGCTTACTTATATATTAAGAAAGATTTATTACTGTTGAAATGTTTCGATTAAGATGTTCAGTGAAAAATTATGAATGGGGGAAGAAGAATTTAGAGAGTTTTGTGGCTCAAATAATTAAGGCTACTGAACCAGCAGTTATGATAGAGAATAAGCCTTATGCTGAATTGTGGATGGGTGCACATCCTTCTGGCCCTAATTTCATTATTGAAGGCGAAGAAAATACAAATATTACATTAGCCGAATTGATTGAGAAGAATCCTAGATGCTTAGGGGAAAAAATCAGTAAATACTTTGGCAATCAGTTGCCATTTCTTTTTAAAGTATTATCTGTTAATAAGGCACTGTCTATTCAAGCTCATCCTAATAAGTCTCATGCTGAGAAATTGCATAAAGAAAAACCAAACTTATATCCAGATTCAAATCATAAACCAGAAATGGCAATTGCTCTTACTAACTTTGAAGCCCTTTGTGGATTTCGTCCCTTGGTTGAAATTCAGAATTGCTTGAAAGAAACTCCGGAGCTATATAATGTTGTCGGTGAAGCTATTGCTAATCAAGTAATTAATTCTCCTGCCGATACGTACCACTCGGTACTTAAAGAATGCTTTACGGCATTAATGTGTAGTTCGGAAGAAGTATTTCGACCACAGTTAGATTTATTAGTAGAAAGATTCTCTAAAATGGAAGAGAATGATGTTGGCAAGTTATTTCTACGGATTCATTCCCAATTTCCTGGTGATATTGGATGTTTTGCATTCTTTTTTCTCAATTATATTATTCTGAAACCTGGAGAAGCCTTATTTTTAGCAGCAAATGAACCGCACGCTTATCTCTTTGGCGATTGCATCGAATGTATGGCATGTTCTGATAACGTGGTCAGAGCTGGACTAACCCCAAAATTTAAAGACGTGCAAACACTCTGCGAGATGTTGACATACAAATGCCGTTCACCTAAAGAAACATTATTTTATCCCAAAGATGACAAAAATGATGCATTTAGGAAAATTTTTAATCCACCCGTTCCGGATTTTGCAGTTTTAAAAATTGAAGTTCCTCCCGAAATAAATCATTATGTATTTTCTCCTCTAGAATCTGCTTCCATTATATTAATTGTTAAAGGAAACTGCTTAATAAAAACTCCCAATAAATATTTAAAAGCTAGCAAAGGATCAGTTTTATTTATTTCTAGTGATCAAAAATTTGAAATAGAAATTGAAGATGGACTATTAATGTTCTGTGCATATTGTGATTTACAATAAAATGACAACTTTTGAATATAATTTAAATTTAAAATTTTGACATTATTATTATTATTATGTATTTTAATTTTATATAATATGTTTTAAAATTGTTTATATTTAATTATATCTTAATAATAAAAAAATTATTCTTACAACAATGTTTTTCATGTTAATATTTCTATGCAGTTTTTACATCTTTGTTTTCTTTAATAATATAAATATAATTAAAAAAAAATTGTCACATTTAATACAATTAGCCATTAGTTAATGTAAAAGGTTAATAATTAATTCCAAATATTTAAATTTTATTAAATCATAAAAATGGAGTGTGAAGTTGGTAGATTAACATTGTACTTAATACAAGTATATTGTTATATATTAGTAACGTTATAATTATGAAAATACTCTAATTTTTAAATCCATAATAAAACTTTTTACGTATAATTTATAATAAATGTTTTGTATTAAAAAATTTTTTTTTTTAAATTGGTTTTTGGCTTCAGTTTCGGTTTTAAGCATAAAACATTGACCAGATGGCGCCACGAGGGAAGAAGAAAACAATCAACATCGAAGGAAGACGCTCGAAACATCTGAAGTGATGAATAATTGCGACACGTTAACGAATCGCAGACGGACTTAATCAGCCAGATTGCATTTTTTTCAATTATTTCTCCAATTGTTAAGTAATCAATATTTATAATTAATTCGATATAATACCGAAAAGAGAAGCGAAACTATGGCGACAGACGAGAATGGTAAAGAAACAGGTTAGGGTTAAAAGTTTATATTCGTTTCTTTTATTTGCCGGTTTTTAAACGTTCAAATTAACTCGAAAACGATATTTTTCGCGCGGAAACAGTTTCGTACGCGTAAAATTAATCGAAAATTTTATCGAAATAATCCGATACGTATATACGATTTTATCAATTGCGCGTGTTTACGTACGGTATTTATTTTGCGGTAATTTGCGTAACGTATCGATACGTAAGAGATTTTTTTTAGGTTATTTGCCAAAAAAATGACGTCGTTCGTCGTATTTGTCAAATTTTTAACTCGGATAAACTAATTTCGAATTTTGATGCGTCACTGTTGACTGTCTGCTTGTGTCAATATGTGGTAGGTAACCTATATACAGTAAGTCTAGGTCAAAATTCTCCAAACTTGTTTCAAAAATAGCATTTTGATACACTTATATCAATTTTAAATAGTAATTGCTTTATTTTAAAATATTTCACAAGTTAAAAAAAAAAAAAAATGAGTGTTTTTATTATGAATTTGTCATGTGAACCGTTCCTCTAAATGTTAGTTTGTTTATGCTTTTGTGATTTTTTTGTTCTTTTTTGATTGGTTGATTGGTTTTTCCGGATTGTGATTCTATGGATGAGAAAAAGTGCATTTTGTAAAGCGGTTATTCTATTTACGGCCATTCTCGAAGCATGTTTCGTGGTCACGGGCTTCTGTCTTGAATTACTGCGTCGAGGATTTCGCTCGATGAATCAATGCCGTGTGACGTTCTTAAAAAGTTTGTGTTATTGCTCGTGTAACTGGAGATTAGTCGCTCCAGTTGTTTTTCCAAATGCGAATCTTTGATCTTTAGCTGGAGAAAAGAATGTTTTCGTGTATCGCGTCTCTCTTGTGTTAGGTTAATGGATTGACAAAATATTATGGCACACGTCTAAGGTAATATTTGTAGTATAAGGAGTGGATGGGGTTTAGGTGGTACACGGTTCGTTTCGTCTGCGACTCGGTTTAAGTGGTCTGCAAATCGAGTAACTTTGAGAATTGCTGAACTATAAAACTACAACTTTGTGAATTGTTCGTGTGAATAAAAGGAAAATAGTTATTGTTGTGTATTAGAGTTAAATAATTTGTTATTAATCACTTCAATATTTTTGGAATACTTATTCTAAGAGATTTTTTTTTTTAATTAGTATAGAATAATTTTTATAATACAAATTTATATAAAAGATAATGGTGGAATGATTATTCCGAAAATATTAAAATGTTATACATTAAAACTATTGTTTGTATTCTGTTAGTTTTGATTTTAAATAGGAGTGTCCGTCAAATGTAAACCAGTTTTTTTGTCCTCTTTATTAATATGTGTACATTTGAAAAATATCCATTTATTTTTTTTTTACATAATTTCCTTTAACATTTAAAAACTTTTCCATTGGCATTTTTTGATTCCTGCATCATAGAAACTAGTGGGAACTAGTAAAAACTAATGATGAACAGATGGCTTTAGGAACAACAATTGCATACAATTCCAATTGCACAGAATTTTCCACCAGTTCATCATTTTCGAATTCCTCCTCTTCCCAATGCCTCCTTCAGTGGTCCAAACAGTTGGTAATCAAATGGCAATATGTTCAGGATGTATGGGGGATGTTTGACAGAGCTTCAGTACATTTTCATTAATTTCTCTTGGGTGACATGCTGTAGATGGTAACACCATGTCTTTTGGACTGATAGACTGCTTGATTATTTGGCAATAGTAGGTAGCATTAATTGTCCTTTGTTCAAGGAGGAAATTAATAAATTAATGTACACAACTCCTATGTAATCCCAAAACACAGTGGCAAGAACCTTACCCACAGTTAACTGTTTTTTTGCTTTCATGGAACCTGTTTTATCAATTTCTTTGCCGTTCCATATTGACCTGCTTCAACTCTGGGATATAGTGATTCACCCATGGCTCCTCATAGTTGAGAATGCAATTTAAAATGCATCCCCTTCTACCTTGTAATAATTCAGCAGTCTCTGATCTGAGGCATGGAACCCATTGTGCCACAATTTTTTTTCAAATTTTCATTCATTTCAAATGATGGACTTATCCCGATTTCCTTACAAATTGTATCTACTGTTAACTGCCAGCCACTTTCATTAAGGCCTCAAATTGCTTTAATGTTGTTTGGAGTTGTTAGTCTTGGGACAAACTGGATGTACCAAATTTTGCATGTTTTTACATCTAGAAAATGCCTTATGCCATGTAAACACTTGCATCTTTGATAACAATTCATTCCCAAACTATACATATATTCTTCACAAAATCAAGTTTCTACACAAATTAATATTTAACTATAAAGATTTCCAATTAATGATTATGAAGTGTATTAACATATGATTTATATGTAAAAGTTTACATTTAGAAAGTTTTTCATTTATTAAAATCTCTGTATTTGTATTGGTTAACTGATGAATCTGTAGTAAATTTTTATATCGGGTTGAAATTATATATTAATATCATGAAAAGAATGCTCATGGCTAAATATTAAATCATAGAAACAAATACAGTACTATTGTGATTCCTTTATTATGGCATTTCATTCTTTTTCAACAATACTAATTCTATTAGACAGGATTAATGAAGTTTTTGGAAGCAAAACCAAAAATATACATAATAAAAGAGTGTTCTGAAACAATAATCAAATAATGAAATGTACTGAAATTGTGTTTTATAGCATTTCTACCATTATAAATTTTTTTTAAACTTTAGAAAAGAGAAGAAACAAAACACTGTACACTTTAAAAATATGGAATTTTAAAGGAGTACGTTGAATTGGAAGATGCAATATGCCAAAAAAATCTGGGATGGTTAAAAGAAATCAATGGTAGGGTAGTAAGACTAACAGACTGAGTTATGAATACCTTGGAAAGGAGGTATTTCAAAAAAATAGGGTGGATTTTAAAGAAACAGGCTCCCAAGGAACAGAAAAGAAGTATAACACCTTATATTCTGTGGGATCAGATTGAAGTACCAAAACATGTAGAGACGATGTTAAAGAATGGACCCAGATATGTTCCAAATGGCAAGAGCAATTGGGAAACTACAATGGCTGAAATGGAAAAAGGGATGGCCGGTCTTAATTAATGAAGTTGAAAGGGATTATTTTAGATGGAGGATGGTATTCAGAAAAAAGGAAAGGCACAAGGTAGAATGTAAGGAAAAGTTAAATATAAAGTATACAAAAGAATGGCTAGCAAAAAATCAGTTGGTGTTAACAAAAGCTGACAAGACCAAGCAAATGGTGATTATGGAAAGAAGGTATAATGAAGCCATTAAGGATTATATTAATAAGACTGAATGTGACATGAACAACAAGGTTAAAAAGCTTGAAAAGCTTTGTATTCGATTGTGGAACAGTAATTTTCCTGAGGATGGCCTATTATAAATAAGCTGAAAGCATTTGAATATTAATTAAATTAATAGTAAGCTCAGCATTTGGTGTTTGATTATAACTGTATTAAAATAAAACTTAATAGGTAAATTTTTTCTATGATGTGAATTTTTACACTGTTAGTTAATCAATTTTTAATATAGATTTTCGTGAAACAAATTAATTTTACCAGAATGTGACATGGAAGCAAGTCACATATATATGAGATTATTTCAGTTTGTTGTGTTGTAAATAAATTGTTTTTCTACTTTAGATATTCTTTCTATATACAGAAAAGTGATTAATTTCAATAAAACAGATATGGTTATTTCATTTATTAGGTAAACAGACCATATCATTTACAATCCAACTAGAGACACATTTTAGAATCAGTGAAAATGGGATCTAAAACTAATTAAACTAGTTATTTTTTAAAATTTATTTATTGTATTGATCTATAAATTGATATTATATTGAATAGAGCAATTTTATTAATACAGTAGAACCTCGAAAACTCGACCTAATGTGGACCGAAGGGTGGCCGAGTTTGTGAAAATGCCGAGTTATCGGGAATGGGGTTAAAAAAAATAAGTACGAGTATTTCCTCAGAAAATACTGTACTGTACTTGTACAGTATTTACTTGTACAGAATATAACAGAGAATAAACTGCCCAAATACCCTTAAACAAAGGAAAAGTACGTCCTTTATGAAGGCATAGAGCCACTACATGAAAATGAAAATTAATGAATACACTGTGTACAGTAATTTACCTGATAAGACAGACCTCAGAAAAATACTTTATGAGAGCTTTTATACTTTTATAAAGCTGTCTATAATGAAAATTAATTAACTAAGGATTTTTTCGCCCTGCCAAGGTGTGGACCAGTTATCCGGAGTGCTAAGTTATCGAGAGACGAGTTTTCGAGGTTCTACTGTATATCAAAGATTGATTCTATCA